TTGGCAAGCTCTGGAAGAGTGATCTCGCGTTCTGCGGTTCCACCGATCTTCGCAGTGAGAGAACCATAGGGGGTCTTAGTCGTAGCGAGCTCCTTTCCATTCCAGGATATCGTTTCCGCCTCAGTGCCGGCGTATACCTCGATAGTCGTCGCATTTGCATTGTCACCAACTGCGGAAACTGTGCCGCCTGATACACTGGCAGAACGGACGAGATATGGCCCGAGCACGAAGATCTGGTGGTCGGGTGTGACGTTGGGGTCATCTGTCGTTGGTGGCGCAAAGAAGGTCCATGCAGTCGGTATATCAAGCATATAAGCAAGAACGCCGTTGGAGAACACAATGACTGTCGCACCCTTACTTTGGGTGTACGAGAAGCTTGAGTAGGTGCCATTGGCCGGCTTACTCGCAAGATCTGATTCTGCACCGTATGCCTTGAACGTTACGTTACCCCGCGATTTGAATGCGAACTCTCCTGTCTGGCCTTCGCGGGTGTAGAGCACGAGGACGGGTCGATCAAACAGGCCGTAGGTAGCAATCTCGGCTGACGAGTAGAGCAGCGTTTCGTCACCCACAGTGTAGTCGGTAACCACCCATCGACTCTGACGGCCCGCAAGCTGCATGCTCGGAATGTTGACATCGCCTTCAGACGTCTTGACTGTCATTGAGAAATCGGTCACAGCACGGGTGCGCGTGTTGTTGTTCTCGGCAAGATAGAATCTACCGTCCGTATCGCGGCTCTTGAGTTGCCAGGTCCAGATTGCAGAGTTGTCGACTGCGTTCGCTGTGCCGTTGTTCTCCATGAACGTTTTGTGAAGGCCCTTACTGACACGGGTAAAAAGCGCGAGCAATTTGTACTGCTTGAACTTGTCGCGGACTTCTCGTGTCTCGCGTAGCGGTGCGTCATAGTCGTAGCTAGTGTATACAACGGGAGCTGCAGAATGGCCCCAGTTCGTGCCTCCGTATGCCATGTACAAGTTCAGAAGGCTAGCTCGCTGTCCGATCAAGCCCTTGTAGAAGACATCTGCAAACTCCGGGCTCTGTTCAGCCAGACACTGGTCAAAGAAGTAGCCACCCCATGGCTGGAACCATCCACCTTCGAATTCGGGTAGATATTCTGGCTGGGTGGGGGAGACCTCTTGAAACCATTGGTAGTAAGTCCTGGGTAGGTTGAACCCAGTGTCGAGGTTCGTGCAGCTCATGCCACCAGGGTAGCTGTCAAGACCGTAAACGTTGATCGCACCTCCAACATTGTTGTAATCAGTGGACCAACTCTTCGACCTGAAGCCCTTCTCGTTATGCGACAAAGGTACGACGATGCCTGCGTCTTTGAAAGCACTCTTCAATTGTTCCATGTAGATGACCAATGTGTTGTTGGCTTCATAACGGGTTTGTTGCAGTTCGTTTTCGACTTGGGCTAGAATGACAGGTCCGCCGTTGGTGATCTGATTCCTTGCGATGATCTCGCCAACTTCCGCGATCCATTCCGACCACGCTTGTCTGTATGTTTCGTCCGAAGTTCTGTACTTGCCACCACTTCCATCGCTGGTCCAAAGAGCAAAGCCACCTCCATTTGTCTCGGCGTTACAGTACGGTCCTGGTCGTGCGATTACGTAGAGTCCGGCTTCCTTGGCCATATCAAACAGGCGTTGGATATCTTTTCCGGGTGTTGTAAAGTCGTATACGCCTTTCGATGCTGAATGGTACGACCAGAAGAAGTAAATTGAGACGGCGTTCATGCCGTTCGACTTGAACTTCTGGAAGACGTCGAGCCATAGTTCGGGTACTGGGAGGCGAGCATAGTCTGGTAGATGCGGTGGTTGAGTTAGCACTCATCTCATTTACCCTTTATTCATCTCAAATCATCAACGTACGGAATTCCCCACTCATGATCATGACGCGCTCGCCATCAACCATGAGCGACCCGTTATCCCACTCAACGTCCGTTTGCAGGCCATTATCGGTGGCTAATACACCAAAGAACAGCGAGATTGCGACTGCAAACAGATGAAAGAACCTCATCTTGACTTCCTCGGTGATGAAGAAAAGTTCATGAGACGCGACGCGACTTTTGCTCTACGACATAGCTCTCGATCTCGCGTGCAACTAGCCCGTGGACTTCAGCCGCGGCCAAAGATCGCCATCCGGACCTGCGCGTCGCGGAACGATCTCATTGACGGTATAATGTTTGCCATGGAAGAAATGCTCAGCGGGGTAATATGCAAGGTACTAGCGACCCCAGATGTGTGGCGTTTGCGGAGGCGGGTGGAACGTCATTTGCCCGAGATGCCGAGGGCGCGTGAAGGAAGCTTGCGCCAGCGGGAAGGTTACCACAACGGGAAGGGAGGAAGTACAGTATGTGGACGTCATGGAAGAACAAGCCATGTAATTTGCACCCTATGCTGGTGTTCAGTAAACACGTATAGTGTTGTCAGGAGACGTCGTGAGGTGGCTGGGAATAACGCAGATTCCCAATCTATGTTCTGTGGACATACTAGCCGTTTCCGGCACGCTACTTCCACGATGGAAGAGAGCTTTCCCACACCACTACGCTGAAGTGGGCTGGAGCAGAGTCAAGCCTTTTAGTTTCCGTTCTTTCCGAGGCTTGTCACGCAACTCTGGCTCTGCATTGACATGTTCACGAGGGTACCTTCGAACGACAGGCTTGGAAAAGTGGAAATCGGGCGGGTCCCACTCATTGGAGGATTTTCCGAAACAAATCTCCCCTGACCACACCCACGCACTGAACAAGCGTTGCTTCGAGCGACCACGTTCCTCTCATCTCTTCTTCTTCCTCCCCACTTGGTGGAGGATCTCGAAACAATCCCTCATCTGTCAGTATGGAGAATCTCGACTCGGGAAATTACGATCCCGTCAAGTGTAGATTCGATGTATGAGTAATTGAATGGTGGCTAAGTCATTCGTTCGTGTGTGTATCATTACTAGGAATTCGTATATATGTGTGGCGTACCAAGCATGTAGGCCAAGCAACCAAGCACTTCACTCACTCTTTCAAGCCTTTCTACAAATCAACTTTCTTTCACAATGGTCGCCTTGACTCTTGGTATCTTCTTCACGTCGCTGGCGGCGTCCGCTGTGGCAGCCCCAGCCCCGGCCATCACTCCTGCACCCAAGCCCGAAGTCGTGAAACGTGCCTCCAGCTGCACCTTCTCGGGCTCGAACGGAGCTGCTGAGGCTTCTAAGTCGCAGTCATCATGTGCCACCATGGTGCTCTCCGACGTTGCTGTTCCTTCAGGCACTACTCTGGACCTCTCCAGCTTGGCTGACGATACCACCGTCATCTTCGAGGGTACCACAACTTGGGGCTACAAAGAGTGGAAAGGGTAAGCAATATCCAAACACAAATGTATGAGACACGCACTGACTTCATGAACCAACTCTCAGACCTCTCCTTGACATTCGTGGAACCAAAATCACTGTCAAGGGTGCCGAGGGATCCGTCCTCGATGGTGACGGCGCTCGTTGGTGGGACGGTGAGGGTGGAAACGGCGGAAAGACGAAACCCAAGTTCTTCTCCGCACACAAGCTCACCGACTCCTCCATTACTGGCATTACCATCAAGAACCCTCCCGTTCAAGTAGTCAGTATCAACGGATGTGATGGTCTCACCATCACCGACATGACTATCGATGCCTCGGAAGGCGACAAGGACGAGCAAGGTCACAACACGGATGGTTTCGACATTGGCTCGAGCAGCAACGTCATCATCGATGGTGCAAAGGTCTACAACCAGGATGATTGTGTTGCCGTGAACTCTGGTACCGTATGTATCCCCTGGGAATTGAGATGATGACACCCGCTAACAATACGGATAGGATATCACCTTCAAGAACGGCCTCTGCTCTGGTGGACACGGTCTCTCCATCGGCTCTGTCGGTGGTCGTGACGACAACACGGTCGATACGGTTACCTTCTCGAACTCCGAGATTACCAAGTCCGTCAACGGCGTCCGCGTTAAGGCTCGCGCTGGCACGACCGGCAAGATCAACAAGGTCACCTACGAAGACATTACCCTGTCTGAGATCTCCAAGTATGGCGTCCTCATTGAACAGAACTACGACGGTGGTGACCTCCACGGTGACGCTGATACTGGCGTACCCATCACCGGTTTGACGCTCGACAACGTCACTGGTGATGTCTCCAGCAGTGGCTACGACGTTGTTGTTACCTGCGGAAAGGGCTCCTGCACTGGCTGGACCTGGACAGATGTTTCCGTAACTGGCGGCAAGACCTACGACAAGTGCTCCAACGTACCCAGCGTTACCAAGTGCTCGTAAATGGTAGTTGTAGCCTTTTGTGGTGATGGCTTGAGCCTTTCTCACCTGGGGTGACGCACATTTTATTCTCGGTTCTGGCATGCCGTCAGAGCTTCGCAGTCATTCTTTTTGCTGCGCTGTAAATATCCTTATCTCTTTTGCATCTTCAGAAGACCGCAATATACTCTTATTTTGAAAGTGTATGTGCAACGAGTGCCTTCCACGAATGAACTTTTATTTGATCTGATGTAGCGACGACGCGGTGTCGGATTCGTGGAGGTTTGGCCATATGACCTCGGGAGACCGTGCTCATGGTTTCTACTGTCAGCGGCGGAGCCGAGCCTCGGAGAACTGGGCGGATAAGCGAGCGACATGTCGCGAGATGGAATCCCACCATGATTGAGATGTCTTTCGCACGTTAACCAGCGCATCTAAAATTAGAAAGAACCTTAAGAACATTTCATGTATCAAATCAAGTTGCCTTGGTTGCATTGGCACACTGGTCTAGATGTTGATGCGCTACGTCATGCCTCCAAGCTTCCGGTCGTGGAGCCGACGCTAGAGCGGCTCGCGGCGGCAGCCACACCAACGCGCGCGTTTCCATCCCTTATCACCAACTTAACGCGTTAACGAGACGCGTCAAAATGTACCTCAATTTCATTATCAGCCTGTACGAAGCGCTATCTGGTCTCCATCATGTATACCACACTCCTGGACTTCACCCGGCTAATGCGAATCCGTGTACCTTGCTTCTTCCAAACCTCTCCTCCCAGAGATCTTCTCATTGATCCCATAGCGATGTAGTGCCTCTTCCGAGCCAAAATACTTCACGGTTTCCGTTACGAGCTTCGCGACTGCCACGACCTCATCTTTTGCATCCGGTGTGGCCTCTTGCAATGTTCGACTCAATCTCTTCAGATTCTGGATTTGCAGCTCAATGCCATGTAGGCTAGAATGAATGATGAAGCTTAAAGTTTCGGTAGGATCTGGTTCGCCGCTGATATTCAGGTCAGAGAAGTTTCGGTCGACATCTCGAAAGTACATACCTGTCGTCATCTCCGTCCTCGAATAACGTCTCGTCGTCGACCTCAGGAAGCTTCTTAAACTTCAGATCCCTTGGCTTGGCCTTTTTACAAGCGTCGTCCAATTCCGCTACCAGATACAACAGGCGGTCTAGGCTTCGCGATGCGGCGTCCACGACTTCTCTCTTACGCGAATCTACCTTAGCCATACCATCGAGATTCGCAAGATGAGCCCACACTTGCAGATCGAAAGCAAAAGCTTTAGTGTGTTCTACTATCTTGTCGAACGTGAGATCTTGAGGTTCCGCAGCCTCAACATCCATGTATGGAGAACACGTGCTACTTATCTGGTCCAGTTTGTTTTGTAGCGTCGCATACTGGTACTGAAGCTCGGGTCGTGCAGTGGGTGATCTTGGACTAGCGCTCGGGCTTCGCTTCGCCCTAAAAGCCTGACTGCTTGTGGGCAATGGCGGATTGTCCTGGTGAATTTCCACTTTGATGCTTGGTTTCTTCTGGTGCTGCGGCTTGCCTTCGTACCTTACAGGTAGTTGACTTGACAGGACTGGCTCGTTGGTCAAATCGTAGCCGGAAACTGGTATTGCACTGGGCCGGACCTCCTGAGTATTGTACCGTCGTTCTGACCTTCTGTCCCTTTGACCAGCTTCTGAACTCGATCGCATCCTCCCAGTAGTTTCGAAGACGGGGACGCCGAGCCGGTCAGGCGTTGTAGGAGAGTTAGAAATTCGTGGAGATGAGGCCGTACCATGCCGACTGTCATGATAGCGCTTCATTTCTTGTTCGCGCCTCCTTCGATCCCATCTCGCCTTTTCTTCTATGGTATCGACGTAGCCTCCTGAGCGCGACCGAGTATGACTTGGATTCCGATGACGTTCGTCGACTTCTAGGAAATCGGTTGAAATGGTCGCCATCGCACGGAGTCGCAACGAATGGAGGAATGGAGATGATCAAAAGCTTCTTACGTGGTACGAACAGTGGCAGGTATGTGTCTATAGAGAGGAAACCTGCTGCTGTGGTATGCATGGGACGTTCTGTTCGGTACTGCACCCAGTGTCAAGAGAAATTTGTCAGTGGGGTCGAGAACTCAACAGAAATGAAAAGACGTAGGAAGGCCACGCTCATATGAACAGTGCGACCCAGTTGCCTGATCAGGCAGCTGACTTGAGACGCCTTTGGGGGCCGTTGGGGGCTGAGCACCACCGAACGGTAACGTCATCCCTGTGCCGCTATGCATACAACCAATACCGACCAATGTTACCTCAATACCCCACACCAATGCCGGCGAGCTGATGTTCGCATCTGTTCAGCCGCAATAGTTCGTGGGTCATGAGGCCGCCCATTTAATGTCGAAAATACTTCAGGCCGCCGCCTCTGAAAAACGGCCCAGCCCCCATCCGACCGCGCTGATATCCTGGACTCGCACTACATCTTACACGAAATTGCACCATACAGTTCCTGCGCTCGGCAGCTATTGCTGTTACACGACTCAAAGTTTTCCCGACTGTGCCGCACGCGAGTTTACTGCTCCTTAGCGTCATAGAAAACACATCTCAACTGCATCTTCAACGCGACCCAACACGCCAGCTGGACGAGCCATGGCTGAAGTTCTTGGCGTTATCTCTGGCCTCTATACAGCAGGACAGGCTCTACACACCTTTGCCCTCGAAATCAGGCAATGGAGACGACTATCCGAACGACTCTTCGACATCAAGGAAGGGCTTGACTTTGCGAAACTATCTCTAGACAGCTGGCAACAAAAATATGACATCCAAGTGCATCGACCCGATGTTCACACCAGGATCTTGTTTGGAAAAGAAGGGCACGAAAGGATCACAGCCACAATCGGTACTGTGAATGTGATCACCGGAAGTATCAAGAGCGACATCAAACGAGTCAGAGGCCTTGCCCTTAATTTTGAGTCTAGGAGAGGATATTACGGAGAAACTCAGCACTTGAGTAACGAGGATCGGGTCAAGGAGTGTCTTTGGAGAATTCGCCACAACACCACATGGTCGCGCAGATTCGAGTTGAGCGTCCTTGGTAAAGCGAACGATCTGGAAGAGCGTCTCAGGCGATTATATCAAAAGCTTACCATGCTCGAACGTTTCACCGACTTTTACCTCGAGCGAGAGCACGCAGAGATCTTCTCGGAAGTCAAGCGACTCCCTGGACGGCGAGTGATAATCAAGGTCGGAGACGGAAGGGCGGATACGATACAGAGCAGGGTTCTGGACGCCGTTCGTGCCCAAAAAGATGCTGAGCGATTACATCGATGCAGCGACTCCAGCCGGGACAATCGACTACATCTCGGTTTGTCCATCCCTCGCATTCATAAGCGCGACTTCGCGTTCTTGCTCAACATGGACGGGGCAAGCCATGAGATCATCGTCCATCCTGTGACCCTTAAGACTATCTACGAACCAGCTTTGGTGCCGAAGAATTTCGCTACTGCTGTGTCAAGTCTCATGAACAGGACGCAGGATGACTGCTACATGATACCTCCTTTGTCAACATCAGCAGGCTTCACGGTCAAGAATCCACCAACAAACCTTCTCTCTGACTTGCAGTACAAGGAAGCCCTATCGAGTGTGATTCGCGATCAGAACGTCTACCTCGGCTCACAAACGCTATACTCTCAAGACCAAAATGCGATAGCGACTGGCATCGCCCAAGGCTGTTTCCGATTGATAGGAAGCCAATGGTTGTCATTCCTCGACTGCTCGAATGTACGCTGGCGGAGAACGAAGGATGGGAAGTGGGCTAGCATGCTGACCGCAGCGCCTGGCTCATCGATGACAACACGTACCCTGAACCAATGCTACCAAATGAATCGCCAAAGGAGAGATGGTCGCGATCTCTCCAAACACATCCAAATCTTCCGCATCGGACTCGTCCTCGCCGAGATAGCGCTCAAATCACCATTCTCGTACATCGATTTCGACACCGGGACCCATAAGACACGCTTGTACATCAACGACGGCGAGGAAGTCAGTGCCCACGATGTCGCATCGCAGGTAGAGCTGAGAAGTAACATCCTACTGGGAAACATGGTGTTCTTCTGCCTCAATGTACTGCAAGACAATGATGTCATGGCTGAGAAGAGCATCGAGAGTAGCTATTATCAGGATGTACTCGGGCCGGCGGAAGAGCTGGAAAGGTTCTTCGGGGCTGACAGGAGAAGAGGTGGGTTGAGTCCAGGCTCTAGCCCAATGGGCAGTGGAGCGAATACGCCAAGATCAGCTGGGAGTTCATACGTGTATTGATGTTGCGCTCGCTTTTGCATAGTTCTTTTTTCCCTTGAGACCTCCGCTCCTCAGTGTTATCCCATGAACTTTCCGCGTCATAACATACGATTTTAATGGAACACTATCCTTGAATAACATTAAAGTTTGAGTGAGGAATAGATTCCGATGAATGCAAGCAGCTGAGTACTGAGCACCAACACTAGGGGTGTTCAGCTGCCAAGTAGCGCGGACCTCAAGAAACGGCACTGGTCAGCCGTGGCGCTGTAGTTAACACCAAAGGCCACAAGATACGAGTGATAACCGAGTATTGTTCCGAGCGAGGCGCTGCGAAAAGGTGATGTAGCATCCTGTTGAGCAATTGGTGAGACGATCAGAGACAGGTGTGCCAGGCTAAAGCGCCGCGTTGAATTTGTACCAAGACGCCTTCGCTATGCATTAGATACCAGTTAAGGTATGAGAAATCTCTTCCGCAGACTGTTCGTCTTAGACAGCGAAGCTCTGCTCATCCTTCCTAGGCCCTAGTCCTCTCTTCACACCATCCTTCAAACTTTCCCAGTTCACACCATCTATCCTGCGTCCGCGTGTGCCCATATCAGACGCGACATCAGCCAGCTTGCCGGTAGCAATCCTACGCATCATAACCAGATCTTGTGCGCTCTGGAAGGTCCTGCCCCTGCCTTCGGTAAGGAACTTCTCGATGAACTCCTCCTCATCTTCGTCGAACGGCAAGCCCGCCAGCTCAAACGCCTTAGCGTCTCGCGTGTACATCTCGTGTTCGGGGTCCTGAGACCAAGGTTGGTGATCCAGCGTCTGCTCAATAAGGATCTCTAGCAGTGGTCGCTGCTCGTACTCCGGTCTGCTGTGAATCCACTGGTACATCTCCGTGACATTGCGACCTGCAAGGTATTTGGCGAACTCGTCCCTGGTCTTCTGATCCTCCAGCGGCGGCCGTACGCAGTTGTAGTATGCTAGTGCCAGTATATCATCTTTTGGATCCCTTGCCATGCCCATGCTGCTCACTTTATCCTGCCCTGTCAAGAGGGTGTACATGATCTCGTCGGGGAAGGTAGGTATTATGCCCGGGTATGTAAGGTGTCCGACGGCGGTTGCGAATTGGAGGTGGTCGAGGAACCAGAGTCCTTCAACGAATGTCCAGAATCGCTTCTCAAGGTGTACGTCTTTCGCGAACGATTCAGCTAGCTCTGTCGCTTCGTGGTGTTGCGCCGATAAATCTTTGAGTAGGTAGAACACAAGACAGTGCTTGTTGTGTAGTGTGGTGTTGGAGGAGATTATGCGCTGATGGAGCTCTTGAAGCTGTTGTGGGCTTTTGGGCGGGTACATCTTGCTTCCTGTTTCCAATCAGGATTTGACGAGACCCAACAGTATGCGCGACTTACCCTTGATGTTCAGGAGTGTCAGCAGCCGTTCGAAGAAGGTGCGCCCACCGAGCGCAGTCCGGTATGATTGTATCTCTTGAACAAGGCCATCGTTGTAGTGAAGATTGCGATATACCGCGTCAAAGTCTTCAATGTCAAGCATGTTTATGGTGGAGCTTGTTTTGCTGGGGTGAAGGTAATCGGGGTTTGTTGCGCGCGAGGTTCTCGATGGGTCGCGCACGTCGATGTTTCCAGCCGCCGCGCAGTCACGTGGACTCTGGACACTTGGCGCCAAGCCCATCACGATGGCATGAGCGAGGCCACACAGCAGCCAGACGTTCTTGAAGCTCGCATGTTTGATGCTCAGTACATTTGTGACTTCTAAGATTCATAGAGTTCAGCGAGAGTCACAGGGTAATATTGTTTGGCTGACGCGCCTATCAGTCCATTCTGCTAGTTGGCACTACGTCCAGCAGACTGCGTGATAAGAGCTCTCCAGTATGCCTGCCTAATCATGCTATACAGAACTATATTGCGTTGCATAAGGTGTGAGCTTGAATCTTACGTCAGCATCGAGATGTCGCCCCCAAGCATGTCAGAATGCATGCATGACCTGATCAAACCGACGTAAATCGCATGAAGATACCGATGTAGGTATTGGAAGGACTTCCTGTAAGCTATGGGTTATGATACTGACGAAGGATATAAGGATCAAGTCACTGCCACGCGTCAGTACAAGCCATACACATCATGCCATGAATGCCGCCCTCTTTCGATCGATAGATCGTATGACCCGAGTCGCAGCATGCACGATAATGATTCCTCCTCGGCAATGACAAATTGCGATGTCGGTTCTATGCTTTCCGAAAGTCCGAAAGTACTGTATGTAAAGATATGTCAGACACTTGGCGTTCAATATCAGATGATGAAGAATCGCTGTCGAAGAAGGTATAGTTGCGAGGTCCAAGCGAATGGGTGCCCGCTGGCCCCACACCTTCCGCATGTTCGCGATTTACACCTCGTAGGATCGGTGACGAATTTGCATCAAGTGCGCTTATTGAGTACCTCAGGCGCTAGGCAGAAACTTGGAGGTCTGAGTCAAAACCGGGGTTACAGAACCCGGTACTGCCTTCAGCGTCTACACTTGATTGTAATGCTGTGTCAGGATGAAGGTGAAGCGATCTTGAGAATGCGGCGGATAAATACCCCGAAACAAGTTTTGTGGCTCTAGAACCTTACCTAGTTGCGAAACAGTTTTGAACGTTCAGGTTGAGGCACCATGGCATGATGCCTTCTCGTCAAGTTTCTGTCACATTGAGCCACAGGTGTGTCTGCCCGGGACTGGCCGGATGCCAGCAAAACACATGGAAATCGGAGCTTGATCATCTTGCGGTCTGCGCGT